GTGATGTTTTAGAAGTCAAGAAGCGCAACTTTTGGCACCCCAGTGTAATGTTGTGTCCCCAAAAGCAAAACACGTCTGCCTTTGCAGCCCAAACTTGTGCAGTTCTGCCGGCCCCTGCCAAGGAATGCAACATTGGTAGCTGCAAAGGTTAAACCCTTGAGTTTGCAGATTGTGAATGTATCTTCAACAAAGGCCACATATTTGTCAACTTTCTTGGGCTACTGTACTGCCAGTACCCAATCCCCTCAATGCTCCCAGCCTTTTCTACCATGTTCCAATCGGAAGGCTCGCTGAAACCAACCCAAACGCTGTTCGCACAGGCGTCTTCTGTGTCGCCTTTGGGAGAAGTCTGAAGCACCCTCCGGGAGGAATTGCATACTGCGGCATACTGTGGCTGTCATGGGAGTAACATGAAGTAACTGGCATTCGACCTCCCATAGTGGCAAAAGCACTGTGCAATGGACCTGAATGCATTTTTGCTCCTTCAGGCACTTCTACGTCCCTCTCCCAAGAATGTCCAGGCACGGCTTGTTCTTCAATGTGGCGAAACTGGGCAGCAGGACAGATTCATTCATGACACGCAGTCCTCCGTTACTGGACTCTTGGGTCTGCTGGGGCAACTCCCATGCGCAGCCAGCGGGGTGGGGCGACGGATCTCTCACACAGGCTGCCTTCCTTCTTGGCTTTTCGTGACCACTTCTACAAAAAGGACCAAGTCGTGCAGATCCGTTTCAACATAAGGCAGGTTGATGCTGGTATAGTGGAAAGAATGGATTAAATGTTGATTGCCTGCGGCTCAAAGCACGAAGAAACCAACATGAACCAACACTGATTCAATGCGTTCGAATGGGTTCAACCGAACAGTCTCGTTCACTTTGGTGTGTTTGGGCCTATAGTTTTTGGGAGTTGCATCTTCTGGGCCGAGACAGAACAAGGAATCAATGAACCAACACTTCGTCTGCATCGATCAAAGTCAGTGGTTCCTCAAAAGAACTGAAGCAAAGGAATCATACCTTTTGACCACAAGTTGATGGGTTCGCCACTTGCCTCTGATCCGTCACACATCCCGTGATCGCTGGCGTGTCTTTGTACAAGCAGCCGATGAATTCCCCGGTCAATGAATGCATCAGCACCACAAATATATGGCCACAGGGTGGACCAAACCAGCCATCGGTTCGCAGTATATGCCACCCAAGAACAGGAACCAACCCATTGGGCAAGCTGCCAAAGTCCTGGAACCCTGTTCCATCTCTTGCCTGAAATCCCAAAGACTGTATTTGGCTAACCGGCTAACCCCTGTACAAACCACTACATTTTGGGAATTCCTGAGAGCGATGCGCAAAACAGGCTCGGTTGATTGCGAATCTGTCGTTGATCACAATCAGATCAGCCCTGGCAGTACTTGTTGGCCTCCTTGGACGTACTTCTACGAACACCCAATGTCAGGTATGATGCGGTACGATCAATCAACGCCCCTGACAGCCTAGCGACCTCCTCCACCCAATCTCCCACAACCTACCATTGGCTGCATTTTCTGCTTCTAAATGTAATTAAATGAGGAGATCCAACGAAAACTCAAATCCTCACCTGCCAAAGAACTTCCTATCTTCCACTCCTTCTCCAAACGCAACCTTTGGTGGCACTTATGCTAAACTATCTGTGAGGCATCCACTCAACTCACCTGCCGGTCTTTGCTGACGATGCACTCAACTCACTGGGCTGACGAAGTCAACTCACCCAATCTGTCAGGCCATCTTCGTCGATTTGCTCAATCTCTTCTTCCTCTTCCTCGTCGATTTGCTCTGGACATGTCTGGACATCAAAGAAGTCTTCCAGCGGATCAGCGGAAGATTATATAGCCCAAATAGAACAAACATTGCAAACAAATGCGAAGTCGCGGACATGGAAAGTCGGGTCTCCTAGATCGATCACGCATGGATCACACCGCTCGTCGGACATCGTCGGACGCTCAGGAGCCCTGGCTTGAAAACGCTCATTGGACACTAACACTAACACGTCGGTCTTCCTTTGTGCCACTGGGTGGCTTAGTAAAGCAGTCAAGCCCAGTGGCTCATACAGTCTCCAAGTTCTGTGAGTATGGTGGGAGGGTACGAAGGTAGACTCCCTCAAGCAAACCGCGAAGACCCTCCAAAGTGCATGTTACCTCTGTCAGATTTGCAACAACTATACGGAGAAATGACATGTTAATACAAAGCTTCAGGCTTTCCAAAGACCTCCTCGAGCTCTTCACAGATTCCTGGCGAATCAAACAAAGACCAGGGACACCGACAAGGGGAGTACGACAGGTCCGGTGCTCAAGGCCATGAAAATCAGGACCATGGACCATCCAAGGGGGGAATTGATGGGACAGGGCAGGAGAGTCAGACCTCATTGTACTGGAGTTGGTCATGCAAAAGCACCGCTCAATGATCAGAATGATCGGGCAGGTTTTACGTTTTTGGACTTCTGTAGGGGTCACTCTTTCCTTCTTTGTCCGATAAGAAGCCCTATGCGGCCTATGCGATTGACCTCAAAAGCACCCGAGAAGAAACTTAGACACTCGCAGACGGAATCCGATGGTCTTTGCTACTAGAATGGTCTTGTCCGTCAATAATTGGGTGCAGTGAAATGTTCAAAAAATAAGTAAACAAATCATGTGTCCATCCTCCAGGAAAATACATACTTCGATCAACTCCATCCACATCATCTGGGGCGTGGCGTTGTTGCTGTGACGCACGCGGGGCGCTCCCGGCTGGAGCCCAGGGCTGAGCACTGGCTGAGCCCCGCTCCTCCGTCGGAGCTGATGCTGGTGAAGGGCAGCGCCCGGGCCTCGATGGCGAACTCCACCTGCAACGGCTCTCCACACACAGGGAACCGTACGTGACAAGTGGCGTACGTGCACGGAGAGGACTGCAGGCTAGACAAGCCGCAACAAATGGTTGCGGTTTGGGGGGTGCGGGTTTGGGAGGCTGAGAAAGGCTGAACATAGCTGAAATCATAATGTCTCATTGCCGCATGGGCCATGGGTATTTTCCTGCATCTTCTGCTCACGGACACGGAGATGGATTCAAGAATCCCCGAGGATCGAATGAGAAACACTCTTAGCAACATGGGAAAGGGTTGAGTCTAGCAGCCAATTGCCAATAATTCAATCAGGCTACAATGCAATGCATTAGATTGAAAACTATTGCTGATAGTATCTGATAAACTAATAGTCCTCAAAGTGGGAACACTCCTGTAGGATCTGTAAGTTTCTCCAAGACCTTTCCTCTGTGGTTTGGTGGTTTGTGTGTCACAATTCTTGGAGCCATGCCAAACAGCAATGAATGCAAATATGTGTGTATATAGTATATATATGTGTGTAATATAATATTGTATATGTTTTTTTCATTATTTATATACTGCGAGTGGATCTTAATCAGCGAAGTTTGAAGCTATCACTGACGGTCCATAAGCGGCGTAGCGTCGGAACGGAATCCGCACCTTTTCTAGTCGCTTGATCCTTGAGCCAAAGTACATATGGTATACATATATATGTACATGTTGCACTGTACATGTCGCTGCACTTCCATTCGCACCCCCCATGTGAACGGTAACAATATGTTCCGATCACACACGAAAATTTAGGGATGTAAGTGCTACAAAGGAATTGTATGATTTGCCGCGAGACTCATATGAGGCTCATACTATAGAACATGCTGGACTAAAGCGGACTTTTACATATAAAGTGTGCAACTATGGCTCAGAACCTATGAAATAAAAAATCGAATTGAACAAGTGAGACAGTCATGGGGCCTCGCTCAGTATCCACTCAAAAGATCTTCGCTTTGATGTAGACCCGAACTGGTGACTTCCACGTAGATGTCACATCGGCAACTGACTTCACACTTCTCAAAGATGTAGGTTTTGGTTTGGATACACTTACAGAACGGCAAGTCGGAGAGACAGTCGGTGATTGTCTTCCTTCCATTATGCTCATGGTATCAAACCAAATTGACGATTTGCAATGATACACTTACAGCGTTCCAGGTCAGATAGTCATCCGGTGAATGACTTCCTCCCTGGCTTGCATGGTATCCTCATAGTCGTTCAAAGAAATCACCACTGGTGATAACCTCTCCATCCACGATGATCCCAGTTGCCCTGAGCATCCCACCGATCATCTTCTCCCTTCTTGGACTTTCCTTTGGACTTGCTCTTTCCCTTTCCCTTTTCAGAAGGTTGAGGTACTTCGCGACGTTCCTGCGTTAACGCCGGCCTCCAAGATGTTCCAGATTGGCCTCCTCCTTTGGAATGTCCTCGGGATGATGAAGAAGTTGTACCTTCTGCTGCATGTGCGTTGGCGGCAAGATCTTCCTGCAAAGCTTGCTCAAACGCATCGGTAGCACTGGATGGTGATTTATCATGCGGTATGGCTTTTGGAGCAGCTTTTGCCTTGATCTCCTCTGCTGATGAGTGCCCGAAACTCTTAGGTGTTGCTGAAGGTTTTGGTTCCTCACTTGGTGCTGACGACGGTTTGGCCTCGGTTCTGGACGTAGATGCTGGCTTAGCTGTTGCCTTGGCTGCCTGCTTCTTCTTGCCCTGAATCTCCTTGGCCCTATCTCCAAAGCCTAGACGATTGGTAAGAGCTTGAACATGCTTGTGTTCTATCACGCTCATCCATCTCTCTATATGTCCAACGTTGGGGTTTCTGGCCATTGACTCTATGACTTCCTGAGCTTGTGGGGGCAACCTGATTTCATGTTGATCAATGATCAAAAGAATAGACTTCTCCCACTTGCTCTTCATTCTCGAGTACATGATGTCCAGAGGATCGATCACCTTGTGGTAGGGTGATGTAATGTCGGTTCTAAAATAAGAATATGTCCGACACCCATAAATCGCATGGATGCACTTCTGTACCAATTCAGTCATTGCACTGGCTTTCTTCGCTTTCAACTCCTCAAGCTGGGCGTCAGTCAAGTCGGTGGAGTATTCGAAGTTGCCATATTCCTCTTTGAAGGATTTCGGAGTGTGACCGAATGATAGGATCATGAGTGCTACCTTGCAAATGAATTGTTCTCCTCTGAATCGGTGCCAGGCCTCCTCAGTTGTAATATTGTTGTCGTTGGCAAAGTTTAACATCATGTCATCTGTTGGATCCAATGGTCTCCCATCGTCATCGATTTCAGTGGAATCTCCTGTACCAAACTTACTTATCACATCCAGACGCTTCTTTTTCCAATTTGCTTTGAAGTCGGTAAGGCTGGTGCAATAGTAGCTCTTGTACATCAGGGAGATCATGTTCAGCACACATTTGACCACATACCTATCCATCAAACCCAATGCATTCATGGAGACGTCCTGACAGTAGGCTCTCTCTTGATGCGCATAGATTCGAGGTTCCGGTACTCGACAATAGATGGGGAGATCTTCGTTGTCTCTTCCTTCTTCGGGATTGAACTCGGTCGCTCCATGCTGTGTGTAGTACCCCGGTTCATCACGATCTGTCGGTCGATTTGCCTCCGGATGTAAGTCGTCGGTGACGTCTTCATCCTCGGGCTCACCATCTTGACGTTTCTTCCCCTCATATTGTTGTGTGCTCCTCTGGATCTCGATGATCACGTTTCGTTCGTCTTCATCTTCTAGATCAGAATCACGACCGTAGTCGATCTCATCCTCATTGAAAGATGGGGTCTCGACATTGTCACTCTTGAGGTTCTCTGCACCATCAGACGGTTTGGAAGGATCTTGATTGTCCATGTCCTCGTCGTCATCAGCTGCTTCAGTTTGAGCGATGTCTTCTTCCCAAGCTTTTCTGATCTCGTCCATAGTGGCCTGATCCAACATATCTTGATCATCATGTTCAGGCTTCTTCTCTTCCTTCTTTTCCTCTTCATCGTCGCTCACAAGATCAACGGGTGAATCGGAAATGACAGTGTTGCGAATACCACACGAGAGTAGCCTGCCTTGACAAGATAGGCATACGGACAAAGATGAAGAAGTCAAATGCATACATGATGGACACAAAATATTGCCATCCACGTTGCGATACCCTTCACATGTTCTGGAGATGATTTCGTCCCAAGTTTCCTCACTGATGGAATCCTCGATCAGCTCTCCATTGTCATCGAATCGTACTTCATCGATAAGGGACACGAGCTTCTGGACGTTGTCATCTGTCGCCGAGGCTGACTTTGTGACTTCGTCAGCTCTGCCGAGGATGGTATGCTTCTGAGCGACCCAAAGTCCATGACGTGCCGCTAGAACAACTTGTTCTCCAGTGCTTCCCAGCAGGAGTCTCCTCCATGCCTGACCGTGGTCATCCCAATACCAAGCACCTCGTACACATCTGGCTGGAACTTCTCTAAAAACAACAGTGTAGGAATTCTCCGAAATTCTTCCTCCAAGCTTCCTCAAAGTCATGATTGGAACATAAAGGCAAACGGGCATTCCCCCTCTTGGCCATCTTGATCTCAGGATCTTTGATGATCGATCATCCCATGGCGCAAAGTGGTTGAAGAAGACACTACCTCTATATCCATCCATTCCACCGGGGACAATTCCTAGTTTCATGATTGACTCAATATTGGAAAGCGATGTCATGTGAAAGCTTCCTCCAAGCTGCATTGCCACATTCTCTGGAATGAGATGTGAAGTCCATACAGGATATATTGACACATCCTCTTCAAGAACAGTCTCTCTTCCAGAATTGTGAGAGGCAACGGCTCGAATTGCACAAGGAACGATCCAACGTTCATGCTTCAGAAATGATGGTGCATCTGTGCCGTGAAACATGAGGTTTGCCCAGTATCGCCTTTCCTCTTCGAGTGAGACATCCTCCTTTGAGATGCGAACGGCGGCAATCTGATAGCGTACTCTGTTCTGCAACTTCTTTGCATGCCACATCGCCTTGCATAAATATTGGTATCGCTCTGTCTTGATATCTTGCTCACGTCGGGTACCTGTGATAGTACTGATATTGACACCATCGTTGAAGACATGATCATATTCCAGGATCTCATCGATGTTCACCCATCCACCCTCATTGCACTTCGGGGACACATGAGGTTTTCGACCGCGGTGCGATTGAATCCCATTGTGCTTTCCCACTCCATGCCTGAGTAGTCTATTGAGTCTATGGCTAATCTCGTTGACCCACTGACTCTCCTCGCTGAGCTTGTCAATGCGAACTGCTGGGTTCATCTTTGGCGGATCCGTGAAAGTTGCATCTACCTTCGGTCCATTCCAGTACTCCACATAGAATGTAACTCCATACTGTGGAATTATCTCAATGTTTCCTCTATCGCAAGCCACCTCAATCTGCCGATATCCAGCCTTTTGAGATTGTTGTGGATCAGGAGCAAGGTCCTTCACTTTGGGCATCTTTATTCCGAGTGCCGCAGCCTCCTGAATAAGTGCATCAAGTTCCCTCTTTCCATCAGGACCTGATCTATCAACCCTGTGATTTGCGACCTTGTACTCTCCTCCTTCTTTGTCATCGGCGATGTCAAAGAGGTCGACGGGCTCTTTGAATCTGGTGACGAAGCTGGCGTTCCCAAAGGCCTTCTTGGTTGCCTCGACCGCTTTTGCGTATTCCTCTTTTGCAGAGTCTGACGAATGTGGTCTACCTTTGGCTCTCGGAGAGTAAGGTGGTACCTTACTTCCTAGTTCCGGCTCTTCTTCGGGAAGTTCAATATCTTCATCATCCACATCCATGTAGTCCTCGTCTTCGACGTCTTTGGATGACTTTGCTTTCCTCTTTCGGCTTTCAACATCACGTCGGATGATCGCCTTGTCGTCCTCGGTGAAACACTTGCGCATAGTATCCTCCATGTAAGAGAATGATTTCATCAACACGTCCTTCT